TCACTCTCCTAGCAGTCCGCAGTGCCTGAGAAGTATTTGGCATACTTTGGAGTGTACGTTCATGCACATTTGGCATTGCTGTTGCCAGTGGAGATAGCTGCACTCGTATGTGATTAGATAGACGTATCTCTTAATTTTAATTTTAGTGCTCCTGGCTATTTGGTTATTTCGACCGCTCGTAGTATACTCGAGTAGCTGCGCAGCATGGATATATGGTATATATGGTACATGGCATTTTCTATGCGAGTACTAGATGCCAAGAAGGCAAGTGCCGTTGACGCAAATGGTGCGCCTCTGCCAAATGGCTATTATTTTTATTGTTATAATGTAGTGCTCTCCAGAGCACCGCCCAACCAGGATCGGGGTTTTCCACCTATTCTATCTTTCCTATATAGTCGGAATGGGGTAGCAGATCTAAGCACTTTGCAAAGGATCCCAAGGGCCCAAGTTTTGCATTATCAACTGACTGATCGAACTTCCTTTGAGGGATTTGTGGCTACGACCCTTTGGCGGCCTCATTGCGCACTGCTAATGTTTGAGTGAACCAAATTGGAAACAAAACGCAAATGGAATGCCAATGAAATTCCAACGCACGTCGAGCTCCGCATCCCCATCCCAATCCGCACACCCACAAGCTGTACGCCTATATATCCGACATCGAAAAATGGCCAGCACTTGTAAGACATGTGTAAATATTTACGTTCCGCCTTCTTTTTGGGACGGAGGTGGCGGTGGGGGGCAGGAGGCGCTCCGAGATTAAGTGACGTCGATGTCGACGACCGACGAGCGGCGACGCAAGAATTTTGGAATTTGGCATGGTCGAAGGACGCCTGTTGTTGTGATCTTGTGTGTGTACAAGTATACATATATGTATATCTACATATTCGTACGGATTTATCTAGTACGCAGTGGGCGAGTGTGCATGTCGTTTCGATTGGGACCCGGACTCCGATGCGGACTTCATGTGCGGATGTGGCTGCGGAATGAGTCAACTGAGTCAACTGGGGGCTGCCAAATGGGATTTTCTAATTTCTGCTCGTCGTGCATTCGTCGTGCATATGAGCCAATCCATATGCGCAGCTGCATAAGCATCTGCATTTTAATGGCCGTTAAGGTCGGGAGTGCCGAAAGGAAACTAGGTGAACTAAGTAGCCCGCTTATGGATTCCTGGATATTATGGATATTCCAACAGTGTACTCCAAAAGTAAACAGCCTATAAACACCCAATTACCTATTAGCTATTTATATTTGATTTGGGCATGTTTCAGTCCTCACAGATATGTACATATTATTCATCAATGTATACCCAGTGATGGCCAATCTTTTGTTAGGGCCTCTGCCGCACCATTCCGCACCATTCAAGATCGCGACTTCGTCATCGTTGTTTGCTTGCCATCGCTGGGATGTGAGTGGGATGGCCTAAGAATAGCGCACCTGGCCCGAAATAGATGCGCCATGTGGCCACTGTGACGTCAGGGGGAATGGAGCTGGGTGAGCTGAGGCTGAGCGGTCAGGATGTAAACAACCAGCGCTGGAATCACACGGAATGGAATGCCGTTGCGACGGTTTGTTTACACTCGATCCCGCCGACATCCACTCAATCAAAATCCGCCGGAATTCGCTCTCTTCCCCTTATCGCCCCCAAAATGCCAATCTACCGGCCCGAGACGATGACCCTTGCCTCTCTTTTATGCTGGCTAAGGATGACTCCAGCGAACGCCTATCACAAACTCAGACAAGTCGGGTGCGTGGTCCAAACAGTGGAGGAATCTCCTGTAGGAATATGAGAGTAATGTCGAAAAAATATTGAGAGCACTTTCGAACCCACCAGTGCTTTCCGATGCTCCCAGTTGATAACGCCAGAATGCCATCACCAGCCTGAGCTGCGGATTGGGAGCAGCTTGTGTTATCAGGCGTTTATTTGGCGGCTAGCTTGGAGTCGCAGCAGTTGATATCACTGTCTCCTTAGATGCGTTAGAACCGAAATGTGGCTACTACTATCGCTAGTCCTGCTCCTGGCGATCCTCGCCCTGGAGATGCGGCGTTTCCTGCGGAAGATGAGCACGATTCCAGGTCCCCTGCCACTGCCACTGCTCGGCAATGCCCATCTCTTTCTGGGGCTCAGTGCGGCGGAGGCGTGCCTCAAGATGGGCGAGCTGGCGGAGCGGCACGGCGACACCTTTGGACTGTTCCTGGGTCCGTCCTACAGCGTGTTGCTCCTCAATCCGCGCGACGTGGAGCGCGTGCTGGGCAACAGCCAGCTGCTGACCAAGTCGCATGAGTACTCCTTTCTGGGCCGCTGGCTCAACGAGGGCCTGCTGGTGAGCAACGGAAGCAAGTGGCATCGCCGGCGCAAAATCATCACCCCGGCCTTCCACTTTCGCATCCTGGAGCCCTACGTGGAGATCTTCGACAGGCAGTCGCTGCGGCTCGTCGAGCAGCTGGGCTTAAGGATGCGCAGGGGCCAGGAGAGGATCAACCTGGGCGAGGCCATTCACCTCTGCACGCTGGACGCCATTTGCGGTGAGTACAGGTTTCTCTTGGAGTACTACATTTTTTCACTTGTGCGTTGTATTTTTAATGAGTGCAATAACTCATTGCTTTTAATAGTGGCATATTCTAATCCAGAAATCTGGGGGAGAGACCTCTTAAAAGCATTGGGCCAAGGTCCGAATCGCATTCAGCTCCATAAAAACGGCTACCGATTCCGATTAGATATTGGTTGTCGAACTATTTCGGTGATAAGCTGGAGTTCGGCAACGCGATAAGATATTTCCATGGCGATTAACACCAAGCTACACTCGAACCAAATGGGCTGGTCTTCTGGGACTTCGACAAACTGTCAAATACAATCTTTGCGTGGAGAAGTGGCGAAGTATGCACTTGCACATCGGAATCCAATCAGCTAGTTTCTCTGCGGCACTGAGAAAAGCCCTTTTCAAATTTCAAAAATCATAGTAGGGGCAATTTTTTCGCAGTACATCGATGGGTGGGATAATCAGTGCTCTTGGCCTTGTCCGTTCTCGTGTCTACGGCCTGCTTCTGGCCGGATCAGTAGTTATTCCACTACCAAAGGTTGAATAGCGATTGAAAATCGGAGATCACTAGAAAAATGTTCCTGGCGATCAGCGCAATCCTGGCCAGCGCCCTCTTCGTGGGCCTGCTGCTCTACCAGCTAAAGTTCAAGCGGCTGATAGACCTAATCAGCTACATGCCGGGTCCTCCGGTGCTGCCCCTGGTGGGCCACGGCCACCACTTCATCGGCAAGCCGCCGCACGAGATGGTAAAGAAGATTTTCGAGTTCATGGATACCTACTCCAAGGACCAGGTGCTCAAGGTCTGGCTGGGACCCGAGCTGAACGTGCTCATGGGCAACCCCAAAGACGTGGAGGTCGTGCTGGGCACGCTGCGCTTCAACGACAAGGCGGGCGAGTACAAGGCCCTAGAGCCCTGGCTAAAGGAGGGTCTGCTGGTCAGCCGCGGTAGGAAGTGGCACAAGCGTCGCAAGATTATCACGCCCGCCTTCCACTTCAAGATCCTCGACGAGTTCGTCGAGGTCTTTGAGAAGGGGTCGCGGGATCTGCTCCGGAACATGGAGCAAGATCGTTTGAAGCACGGTGTCTCCGGCTTTAGCCTGTACGACTGGATCAATCTCTGCACCATGGACACGATTTGCGGTAGGGATCTAGGCCATGAATTTGCTTTCATTTACAAAATGGTAGTGCTTTGGAGATTGGGCTCTTCATCGGGATCTTGGTGTGGTCTTCTTTTCCAGAGACTGCCATGGGTGTTTCCATCAACGCGCAGTCGAATGCAGATTCCGAGTACGTCCAGGCGGTGAAGACCATATCGATGGTGTTGCACAAGCGCATGTTTAACATCCTGTACCGCTTCGACCTTACCTACATGCTGACCCCACTGGCGAGGGCGGAGAAGAAGGCCCTGGACGTGCTTCACCAGTTCACGGAGAAGATCATCGTGCAACGCCGGGAGGAGCTCATTCGCGGAGGAAGCAGCCAGGAGAGCAGCAATGAGGACGCCGACGTGGGCGCCAAGCGGAAGATGGCCTTCCTGGATATCCTCCTGCAGTCGACCGTCGACGAACGGCCACTAAGCAACTTAGACATCCGCGAGGAAGTGGACACCTTCATGTTCGAGGGCCACGACACCACATCTTCGGCCCTGATGTTCTTCTTCTACAACATAGCCACGCACCCGGAGGCGCAGAAGAAGTGCTTCGAGGAGATCCGATCCGTGGTGGGCAATGACAAGAGCACGCCGGTGAGCTACGAGCTGCTGAACAAGCTGCACTACGTCGACCTGTGTGTGAAGGAGACCCTTCGAATGTATCCGTCTGTGCCGCTGCTGGGTCGTAAGGTTCTCGAGGACTGCGAGATCAGTGAGTACTGAAAAGGGGAACAATACTTCTTCTTAACTGGCCATTAAACCAATGCAGATGGAAAACTCATCCCGGCGGGCACGAATATCGGCATCTCGCCGCTCTACTTGGGCAGACGGGAGGAGCTCTTCAGCGAGCCCAATAGCTTCAAGCCGGAACGGTTCGATGTCGTCACCACCGCCGAGAAGCTGAATCCATACGCGTACATACCGTTCTCGGCCGGACCACGCAACTGCATTGGCCAGAAGTTCGCCATGCTGGAGATCAAGGCCATCGTGGCTAATGTGCTGCGGCACTACGAGGTGGACTTTGTGGGCGACTCCTCGGAACCACCCGTGCTGATCGCCGAGCTCATCCTGCGCACCAAAGACCCCTTGATGTTCAAGGTACGGGAGCGAGTTTACTGAGCCACAAGAACACATCATATTTTTGCACTTGTTACTGAAAATATATTCAAAAATGTTAACGATTCGCGGCAAAGAGTTTGCTTTGAATGGGGGCTGAAGAGCCAAGTCATGGTCACACTGCCTTAGATACGGACTAGTGTCGATAGCTCGGTAGCATTCGCTTTATATTGCAACATACGTATCGATAGTGAGTCCCACGCTATCGCCTCCGGCATATCGATAGTTTCGTGAATCGTTAGCCCAGCTCTAAAATAGTGTTTCTCTTCTCTCGTGTAGAAAAACAGAGAAATTAAACTTTTTCGCGCATTTCGCCATTGCAAAAACTGAAAATCGCGATCGCGTTCGTTTGCCCTGCAGATTGCACAACTACGCTCTCTCAATTGGCGCCGATTTAGCGGAGAATCGCGAATTCAAAGAAATATTCGCAGCAAGAAGAAGAACGGAACGGCCAGTATAATCGTATTGTTGTTTGTGTTGGTGTTAGTTGTGTGTGTGTTTGTGGGTGTTGTTGTTGCTGCTGCTGCTACTGCTTCTGGGATGATGCTGTAAAGTAAAAGTGGTGGCAAAAGCAATAAGCCCGTGGTGCGACGCAAAAAACACGCTGCAGCTAGCAGCCAGGCGGAAAATGCTGAGAGTGATGGTGGTTTGAGCCCCGAGTAATCGCAAAAATATCGAACACATAGTCCGTGCAAATCAAATTGCGCCAATAAGCAAACGCAAACATCGTTTGTTTTATTGCATTCCACGCACACACACACGTATATATATGTATATATATATATAAATACATATATATGCACACGCACGCAGTCGCATACATATGCGCTGCAGCAGCAACAGAGATTTTTTTATTTAACCACACTCACTCATACACGCAACCACATGCATCCACGCAGCAAACGGATTAATAACAAAAACAAAGAGAGCAGCCAAATGTTTCGCCTGAGGTGAGTTGATGTTTTTTGTGAATGTCGTTTGGGCATTTTTGCGACAGTAAAGTGCAACAAATTGTTTGTTTTTCGGCCTTTGCTTTGGAAATTGGTCTTGATTTGATTTCGGTGCGTGTGTTTGTGTGAAAATTGGAAATCGCCTGTGTGCGTGTGTATGCGCGCACTATCGTGTGCTCTCGCTCGCACTGACGTACTCCTTACGGGCGCGCGTTTGTTGTGTTTTGCTGTTGCTGCACTTCTCTCTGCCCAGCCAAACAAATCGCTCACTTTTAGTAAAATTCAATAACTGTCCGCTGTGCAAAACATGAATTAATAGTTAATGATTGAGTAGAACGGGCTGCATTGTTGTCCGTGTCCTGCGAATGTTACAGCCGCCATTCCGCTGCCACCGCTGTAGGAGAATAGAGTCCTTTCCGGGTTACGGATGGCCAATCCATGGATTGGTACTAGCCATAAAAACTAGGTTTCTATTTATGCCATGCCTTTGTATACATATCTGGGCAGCGAAATCCAACTAGGCTCGATATAATCCCCAGGCTGTTCTCATTTCTTGGTCCAAATAGGCCTGAAAATACATATATGTTAAATCGATTTACTGTTACCTAGTTTCTCTGCAGGATAATTGAATGGTAAATACCTATTTGTGTAGCTGTTTTTGAAAGGGGACAGATTGAAAGTCATGTTTCTAAGTCCAATCTTTACTTCAATGAGCGCAGCGTTTGCTGTGCGTTAGCCAAGAAACCGGTCAATTAATGTGTCTTCCTTTCTAGTGACCACATCCACAACCACAAGGATTAGAGCCAGCAACACGGAGTGAGAGGATACCAGAAGCAGCCAAGGAACCACCGCTAGCGAAAAATGTCGCGCTGGGGCAAGAACATCGTGGTGCCGCTGGACTCGCTGTGCAAGGAGAAGGAGAACACCAACCGACCCACTGTCGCCAGATCTGTGGGCACCGTTGGCAAGTGGGGCAAGATGGGCTTCACCTCCACGCGCACCTACACCCTGTCCGCCATCCATCCCATGGCCGCGGCAGCGGCGGCTGCTGCAGCGGCCGCCAGTCCTTCCCAGAGTCCCGCCTCCACGCAGGATCACGATCCCAACGACATGTCCGTTTCGGTGCCGGAGCCGCCAAAGCCGAAAAAGTTCTTCAAATCAAGGAATACCGCTCCGCCAGAAGTCATAGCCCAGATAATTCAGCAGCTACCACACTGTGGAGCCGGTGCGTCACCCATGCGGGACCATTTCTCGTCGGCGGGTGTGGGTGCTGGTGGTGTCACGCCTACTTCCGGTGCCCAGGAGGCGGGCGGAGTGAAGCTGAAGCTGGGCAAGGGTGTCAGTTCCGCAGAGCGGAAGCGCAAATCGCCCAAGAAGAAGGCAGCAGCAACGCCAGCCTCCACGCCCTCGACGCCTGGTGCGTTCTACGGTGCCTCCGATCGAGATGGCGATGGGCTAAGCGATCCCGCCTCGGAGCAGCCGGAGCAACCGTCCAGTGCCTCGGGCAAGCAGAAGCAGAAGAAGCCGAAGGAGGAGAAGAAGCTGAAGCCGGAGGCACCGCCATCGCGAGTACTGGGTCGCGCCCGCAAAGCGGTCAACTACCGCGAAGTGGACGAGGACGAGCGCTATCCCACGCCCACCAAGGATCTGATCATTCCCAAGGCGGGGCGCCAAACGGCTGAAGTGGCGGCCACGGCAACACATGTCGCCGCTTCGTCGGAAGCCTTCATCAGTTCCACGTTTGGCAGCCCTGGATCTGAGCCATCGTTACCCCCGCCTACGTCAGCGCCAAGTGCTTCTGCGTCCCAACTGCCCTCCGCATCCGGCGGCGCGTCGAATCCTTCGAGCGCCTCCCGCACGCCGGAACATCCTCCTATCGTGCTGCGCATCTCCAAGGTGAGTTTCGGATTGCCTGGGTTTTTAATTAAGTTTTTAGCCACGAGATATTTTAAAATCGTTATTCAGGATCAGTGGATTGCTTCCACTTCTGTCTATTAATTCTTACATTTTAAAGTAATTTAAATGAATATTTCCACCACACTAGTGGGTGCCCCTGTCATTCGGCTATTCACCACTTCGTTTTTCGGTACATTTCACTGCTCAGTGAACAGTTATCCAACTTGAACTATTTGCCGAGTACCCCAAATGCGATCGCCCTCTCTCTCTCTCTCTCTCTCTTTCTCAGCAGCCGCTCTCTCCCTGTCACATCTCTTTCTCCCTTGTGCTTCGTCTTTCTCCCTCTCCATGCCCGTCCGCTGTGTGTGTGGGAGAGGGAAGGCAGCGCAGCGCGCGAAGCAGTGTTAAATTACGCGCGCTTTTACATGGCAAACCAACGGAATTGGAGTCGAGTCTCTCTGCCGAGTTGTTGGTGTTTTGTTTTTCGTTCCGCATTTATCAGTCGCTTCTTGCCCATTTCGGTTCAGTTGGAGTGTTAATTACCGGGAACGCGACACAGTAGTACTCATTTTCATTTGCCAGATCAGCTAGTTAGAAGTAGGAGCAGAAATAGTGGATCCCAGTAGAAGAACCTGGCTAAATTGGCACCCTTTCGTTTTCCAGGGCACTTCGCGCTTGGTCAGCACAGATAGCGAGGAGCCGCCGAGCAGCTCGCCCGCTCACCAGAACCAACTGAATCAGCTTCCGGTCACGGAGGAGGAGCCAGCGGATCGGTCCCGTGACGAAACAGTTCCTGCAAGTACGCCAAAAATCACAGTGAAGCCACTGAGGCCGCCCCCAGCAGCAGATTCCGTGGATGGATCGTCAGCGACAGTAGGAGGAGCATCGGCAGGCGATTCTTTCGAAGAACGCAAGTCCCAGTCACTAGACGCCAACGAGGACGAGGAGGACGAAGAAGAGGAGGAGGACGAAGAGGAGGAACCGCCGGAGATCAACTACTGCACGGTGAAGATATCCCCGGACAAGCCACCGAAGGAACGGCTCAAACTGATCATCAAGACGGACGTGATCCGCAACGCCATCGCCAAAGCCGCAGCAGCAGCCGAGTCCCGCAGTGAAAAGAAGTCGAAGAGCAAAAAGCACAAGCACAAACAGCTGCTGGTCGCGGGATCTGGTGCCGCTCCAGCGTCTGGAGCCACCCCTGCGGAGATTAACTCTGAATTTAAGACACCCTCACCTCATTTGGCTCTCAGCGAGGCCAACAGTCAGCAAGCACAGCATACACCATCTCATCTGCATCAACTACATCAGCTGCATCCGCAGCGGGGCTCCACGGTCATATCGCCAACCACCCGATCCGATCACGACTTCGACTCGCAGTCCTCGGTGCTGGGCAGCATCTCCTCGAAGGGAAACAGCACGCCGCAACTGCTAGCGCAGGCTGTGCAGGAGGACAGTTGTGTGATTCGCAGCAGGGGATCTAGTGTGATCACCAGTGATCTGGAGACGAGTCAGCACTCCTCGCTGGTGGCTCCCCCCTCGGACATTGAGTCACGACTCGAGTCCATGATGATGACCATCGACGGAGCCGGGACGGGAGCAGCATCTGCGGTGCCGGAGACGCCACTGCAGGAGGACATACTGGCTGTGCTGCGAGGGGAAGTGCCACGGCTAAATGGCAATACGGATCCGGAGCCAACCGAGGAGGAGGATCAACAACAGCAGCCGAAGAGGGCTACGCGTGGCAGGGCCAGAAAGGCGAATAACAATGTGGATGTAACTCCACCCGCCTCGGAGACCAGAACCCGAGGTAGAGCCAAAGGAGCAGATGCCACCGCGGCTGCCATATCGCCTCCAACGGCCAAAAGAACCACACGGGGCAATCGGGGCTCCAGAAAAACCGAGCAGGAAGTCGACATGGAAGTGGACGAAACGGCGGTGACGACGTCGCAAGCGAACGAGGAGCAGCTGGAACAGGCCACACTTCCACCGAGGAGAGGTCGCAATGCTGCTGCCCGAGCCAATAACAATAATTCGGCAAGCGTTAACAACAACATTAATAAGATAGCCGCCAATCTGTCCGCCAAAGCCGAGGCCAGCCGCCTGGCTGAGGGCGGAGTACCTGGTGGAGCGCCACGTAGCTATGGCCGGAAGCGAAAGAACCAGCAGGTGACGCAGGTGCTCCAGCAGGAACAAGCGTCCGAAGAGCAGGAACTTCCCGAGGCCGAGGAGGAGCAGCCCACACCCGCCAAGATTCCCCACACCGATAACAGGGAACATTCGCCAGACCACGATCCGGATCCCGATCCGGATGAACTGTCGAACAACTCAAATAACTCGTCGTTGCAGCACGATGGTTCCTCCTCCTCGCCCCCACCCCGCGATTTCAAATTTAAGGATAAGTTTAAGCGAACATTGACATTGGACTCGCAGGGCGCGGCGAATGCCGGAGCGGGAGGAGCAGCAGCAGCGCCACCACCTGAGTCCTCTGGCGAACAGCGAGGCGCTGTCAAGCTCGTCATTTCAAAGAAAAAGGGCAGCATCTTCAAGAGCCGCGCTCTGGTGCCATCCGATCAAGCTGAACAGGCTACAGTGGCCAAGCGGCATCTTTACAAGCACAGTTGGGATGCTGCGCTGGAAGCGAATGGCGGTGGTACCGGCAGCGATGCTAGCAATGCCTCGGCATCCGGAGTGGGCGTCGCTGGGGCCAAGGACCATCTGCATCATTTGGCGGCGGGTAAATCCGACGGTGACTTCGGAGACAGTCCTTCGTCGAACAACAATGGCTCCTCCAGTGCGTGCAGCAGTGCGTCCACGTTGCGCGGCGATAGCCCGGCCCTCGGAAAGATCTCGCGACTGGCGGGAAAACAGGGAGTACCTGCCACCTCCACCAGTGTCGATGCCTTCGACCTGGATTTGGAACCAATTGTCGGAGAGCTCGACCTAGAGCGTGGAGCAGCGGGCGCTTCCTCTGGCGGAACGGGAGGAGCGACAGGCGGAGGAGGAGCGACGGGCGGTGGTGGTCCCATTCGGGTCGACCGCAAAACTAAGGACTACTATCCAGTGGTGCGAAACGTGAAGACAGCCCACCAAATCCAGGAGATTGGCGAGTACCAGGAAATGGACGACGATGTCGAGTACATCCTGGACGCACTACAGCCGCACAATCCGCCGGCGACACGTTGTCTATCCGCCCTTCAGCTAGCTGCCAAGTGTATGATGCCCGCCTTCAGGATGCACGTGCGTGCCCACGGTGTGGTTACCAAATTTTTTAAGGTGAGTCCCCGACCGGCTTATGTCAGTCTTGGTGTATATATTCAATTCTTAAACACATGTTGAGCTCCAAACCATTTCTGGGAACTTTTTGTTTGCTAAGTTTATGATTATGTAATTGAACCTTATCAACTGCAATATATTGGCTTTCGGCATAGCTGTACCCAGAGTAGGCAGTTTGTTTTGAAAGCTGGTTAGTTTTTTTGTTATTCTGTATTAAATGCCTGTATAAACGTAAGCCATTGAACATGTGCCTTCATAAACTGTTTGGTATTGTTTCCACTTTAAATCAGTATTGATTATAGATTCATTTAAAGATGAATAGAAGTATCAACTAAAAATTAAAGTACCTAAAAGAGCCAGTGTTCAGCACTGAATCTCTTTCTGCATTCTGCCCTCTGTTTATTAACTGACTATTCAATTGTAGGCATTATCCGACGCCAACAAGGACCTCAGCCTGGGCCTGTGCACCTCGGCCATCATGTACATACTCTCTCAGGAGGGCCTCAACATGGACCTGGATCGCGACTCCTTGGAGCTGATGATCAACCTCCTAGAGGCGGACGGCGTGGGTGGGAGCACGGAAACTGGACACCCGGATAGAGCGGGCTACGATCGCAACAAGCAGAAGGTGCGCGAATTGTGCGAGGAGATCAAGGCGCAGGGCAAGGGAACGCATCTCAACGTTGATTCTCTGACTGTGGGCACGCTGGCAATGGAAACGCTGCTGTCACTGACGTCCAAGCGGGCGGGCGAGTGGTTCAAAGAGGATCTGCGCAAGCTGGGTGGCCTGGAGCACATTATCAAGACCATCTCGGACTTCTGCAGCCCTGTGATTGCCAGCGATGCAGAGATCGACTGGCAGCCGACGCTGCTGGATAACATGCAAACGGTAGCGCGATGCCTACGAGTACTCGAAAACGTGACGCAGCACAATGAGACGAACCAGCGCTACATGCTCACCTCTGGCCAGGGAAAAGCGGTGGAGACGCTCTGCCAACTGTACCGCCTTTGCAGTCGACAAATCATGTTGCATCCTTCGGATGGTGGTGGCAGCAACAAGGAGCATCCGGGCGTGGCCATGCGCGAGCTGCTGGTGCCGGTGCTCAAGGTACTGATCAACCTGACGCACACGTTCAACGAGGCGCAGCCATCGCTGGGCGCCGAGTTGCTAGGTCAAAGGGGCGATGTGGTGGAGACGAGCTTCCGGCTGCTGCTGCTCTCGGCCAACTACATTCCCGACCAATGTGTCTTTGAGCTAAGCATACTGGTGAGTGTGTGATCTATATATTCCCAAATCTGTACTTTACCCATATCATTGACTGATTCCACCTTCTTCAGATTCTTACACTGCTAATCAATTTGTGCATGCATACTGTGCCCAATCGGGCTGCTCTAATGCAAGCTGCTGCTCCACCAGAGTACGTAGCGGATAATCCACCAGCGCAGGGATCTGTGAGTGCACTGCAAGCTCTGCTTGAGTACTTCTACAAATGCGAGGAGCTGGCCAGGTAGGACACATTTACATTTCCAGTCACTTTGTCACATTGCTTTATACCGAATACCAATTCCCGCAGATTGGTGGAGAAGAACACAGACGCCTTCCTCGAGAGCAACGAGAAGGGAAAGAAGAAGCAAGAGGAAGTGGAGGAGACAGTCAACAATCGTGAGTATTCAGCGAAAAGATGATCTGTGAGCTATGCTAATTGCCGGGTGGTTTTGACAGTTCTACAACGAGCCGGCCACCACATGGAGCACACGCTAAAGGGAAGTTATGCGGCCATCCTAGTGGGAAATTTGATAGCGGACAACGAGTTGTACGAGTCTGTGGTGCGCCGCCAGCTGCGAGGAAACAGCTTTAAGGAGATCATTGGCGTGCTGGAGAAATACCACACATTCATGAACCTTACCTCCAGCGTGAGTCTTACACTATGTTTTCAATTTTCAGTTTAGATCGACGGCATAGCCTCTTAATCTATCGAACTGCATCCATCAAACCTCCTAACTTGCTAACGTTCTCCCCCGTTTGAATAGTTGGAGGCAGCCTTTGTGGCGCATATGAAGTCCACGAAACGCATCATCGACAACTTCAAGAAGCGCGACTACATCTACGAGCACTCGGATGACCACGACAACCCCCTGCCTCTGAATCTGGAAACGACGGCGCAAGTGTTGGCCGTGGGAGCGGACGCGTCGCATGCTGCCTCAAGCTCGTCCACGTCCGCCTCTGCATCCGCACCCTCATCCACCTCCACATCCACATCGGCCACAGGAACGACGAGGGCGCCGAGGGTCTATAAAACGTACAGCAGCCACAGATAATCGGACCTGGGATCGGGATCGAAGAGCCATCGCAATTGTCGTTAACCACACCGAAAGCCTGCCACCAAAATAAAATTCTGTTGTTTGTGATTATGTAATTTGTTTGTGTTGATATAACAACCACTATATGTATGTGTATAGTCTGTAATGCACCTAGTTTCAGTCAGTTGTACCCCCACGTATATAGAAGTATATAGCTAAGAGCGATAGGATACAATGCGATCTGATCTGTTTTTGCGTTTGTATTAACCCAAAGTGATAGCGAATTCCTGAGCATGGTCTGCGTTTTAACTAAAGAAACTGACTAAGATTGACGAAACGAAAGCGACACCCCGAACAACACTAAGATCCACATCCCCACTAATATGAGTACGTTATATAGTCATAAGCAATATAAGCAGCTAAATGTCGGCTTACCCTCGAAAGCACACCCCCTGTAAATATTCTTTACTCAGCGATTTTATCGGACGCGTCTTAGGTTTATTTCGAATGTGTTTTTTTTACCTATTCATACTTTAAATATTAAACTTTTTTTTATTCATTGTAAAACAAGCGCTCTTAGCAAAAACGCTGCAGCTGGAAGAGCGAGAGCGATAGACAAGTGTAAAGAGAGAGATAGAGAAAGAAACTCTAGATTAGATGAGGAGAATAAAGTTATTTTATTGCCTAAATGTAAGCTAAAGAAACTCTACTTATAAAACTAACACTGATAAATAAATATATATATATAAATGTATGTATATGGATATATGTGTACGTTTACAACCACAAAAATGTCATTTTTAGGCTACAAAAATCAGATTTAAAAAGCAAGCGCGCGTGCAAGAAAGAAACAATTTCGGGAACAAAATATATATATTTATTTTGTGTTTTCAACGAGTACATAATATATTGTTCTTGCGGAAAAAACAAACAGAATTAAAATTAAAATTGAAAAAAATGCGCCAGTTGTTTTATTTTGCATAAAGGGAATGGATAATTTGGGATAGCTTATAATTTGACAGTTTTCTTACAATTTTGGGGATCTATAATAATTTATTTTGCTGTATTATGAATAAGCCCAATATTTTTTATCTGAGCTATAACTTCCATCTGCATTAATATTTAATGGTAAAATCAAATTTCTTTTTAATTTACCTGCATTTATTTCAGCACGACGCAGTGTCATCTCTAGCACTCACGCACGGGTGCTAAGTGAACGGGGTAAAGTGAACGCAGTCAGCTGTTTCTGGTATTTTTGCGGCGGAAAAGTCAGTATTTTCCGGCTTGCCGCATGTAAGTTTTATGTCATCAGGCGGTCCAATTGGCAGTTGCCGCACCGAAACAGAAACCAGGGCCAAAACAAAGCACTCATCAATTAAAACGCGCTCCAAGCCTCCAGCCCGCCAGCCTGCTCAGTTCGATTCGGCCAGGACCAGGAACAGGATGTCGACCCGTCGCCAGGCGATCACGTTATACAGGAATCTCCTGCGCGAATCGGAGAAGCTGCCCTCCTACAACTTCAGGTAGGTGTTGTGAAATTGTATGAGCGCCCCGAGCGATGAGCAATGAGCAATTCCCCGGGTTTCAGAATGTACGCTGCCCGCAAAATACGCGACACATTCCGCGCCAACAGGAGCACCAGGGATTTCGCGGAGATCGATCGCCAAATGGCCGAGGGCCAGCAAAATCTGGATCTGATACGTCGCCAGGTAAGTGGTCCGTCGGATTTCACCCCTTATCAGCAGTGACTGGAAGTGCCCAGAAAATGCTAGGCACTCCGTCCTCGAGATCACAGCCCATCCAAAAAGAACAGTCGTTTATTTACCAAATTGTTAGAAACTCAATTAATTAGTGGGTCTAATAAAAATACACTACTTCCCTTATGGAAGCCAATCAATTTAAGGAACAATAAAGATCAATGTATATTTAAGTAAATTTAATCATATTTATCTGATTTTGTAAACATGGGGAACTGTGGGAAGACTCAATTACCATCTTATTAGAAATCGAAAGTCGCCATATTGCCCCATTTTACTTATCAGCTGGCTGAGTTTATTAACCTTTGAATGTCCACAGGTGATCATCGGCCACCTGTACAGCGCTGACAAACTGGTTATAGAGAACAAGAAGACCCTGAAGCCCTCGGACGACTGAGGGACACGCAAGCGGAAAATGCGCTAGCTGAAGAGAGTACAATAGCAGGAAGGGAGCGGCAGAAGGAGCAGTAGGCGTCTCTAGGTGAAGACACAACTCGAAAGACTCGACCCACACACAACACAGCACACCATACCACACCACACACATTGTTGATTTTAAATGGCACTTGCATCGATGAAACCAAGGAACCGAAATCATTTGCTAGCAAAAAAACACCAATTTAATGTTATGTTTAACAACAATTATGAAATTCTATATACATACATATATATTAATGGTATAAATAAGTACTAAAGTACTTCAGAAAAAAAAGAAACATCTAAGACACCGGCGCCAATGACATGGAATGTGTGAGCGGGAAAGTGGAGGAGGTGGAACCTACGCCTGGTAGGTGCTGGCGGACACATTGCCGCCGGTGCCCGTCCAGTTCGTGTGGTGGAACTGGCCCTCCTGGCCCAGCAGCTCATAGGTGTGGGCTCCAAAGTAATCCCTCTGGGCCTGCAGCAAGTTGGCTGGCAGCTTGGCCGTGCGATAGCCATCGTAGAAGCTTAGGGCGGTGGACAGAGCCGGCACGGGGATGCCCCAGCGGAAGGCATTGGCAACGACCTCGCGCCACGAGTCCTGGCCGCGCTCGATGGCCTTCTTGAAGAAGTCGTCCAGCAGCAGGTTGGACAGCTGCGGCTGCGACGTATACGCGTCCTTGATGTTGCCCAGAAAGACGCTGCGGATGATACAGCCGCCGCGCCACATCAGCGCAATGCCGCCGTAGTTGAGCCTCCACTTGTTCTCCCTGGCCGCCTCTCGCATCAGCATGAATCCCTGCGCGTACGACACGATCTTGGCGCAGTAGAGAGCGTGCTTGATGTCGTCGAGGAACTTGGCGAGGTTGGCAACTTGCGCCTTGGTCGATGGTCCCTTCAGCAAGCTGCTGGCCTGAACGCGCTCGTCCTTAAGGGCAGACAGGCATCGCGAGAAGACCGCCTCGCCAATTAGCGTCACAGGTACTCCGTACTGCAGAGCAGCAATGGCCGTCCACTTGCCTGTGCCCTTCTGGCCGGCGGTGTCGCGAATCCGCTCCAGCAGATGACCTTTGCCGTCCTTGTACTTGAGAATATCGCGCGTAATTTCGATGAGGAAGGAGTCCAGTTCGGCCGAGTTCCACTTGCCGAACTCGTCGGCCATCTGGTCAGCCGACAGGCCCAGGCTCTGCATAATGTGGTACGCCTCACAGATCAGCTGCATGTCGCCGTATTCGATGCCGTTGTGCACCATCTTGACAAAGTGACCGGCGCCTCCATCGCCCACCCACTCGCAGCAGGGTTCACCGTCGGCCTTGGCGCAGATAGCCTGGAAGATGGGCTGAATCAGGGGCCACGCGGCCTCGTGTCCGCCGGGCATCAGCGATGGTCCGTGGCGGGCTCCCTCCTCGCCGCCGCTAACGCCGGATCCCACATAGAGCAGGCCAAGTTTGGCCAACTCTTCGCAACGGCGAGATGTGTCCTGATACTCCGAGTTGCCTCCATCGATGATCACATCGCCGGCCGAGAGCAGCGGCACCAGCTGCTGGATAAAGTCGTCGACCGCACTTCCAGCTGAAATTGTATCGAATTTACATATTACATATCAGCGTAAAGTCGATTAAAGCTGATCGAAGGCGTTATCAAACTTCGGTAAAGCTCAACTATCGCAGATTCATTTACTACAGCGTTCTCTGCGCCCGAGCGCGCGTTCTTTTTACGTGAAGAAATCATCGATTTAGCCAGAAAGTAGAGCGTGCGATTGGACAAGGTCGGTTCGTTGCTTTTGGAAAGTCACTGTTTTGTTTTGGAGGTCACCCTGGTGAGGCGTCCCTTGCGCCGGGTGAGCACTTCTCCAGCGCAGTGGAACCAGATAAGGCCAACGAGTAGTGGCGATAATAGCATTGATCTATCTATCTAGCGGTCGTTTGTGCTGGTTTGTGGGACACACTAGCGGTCAAAATTGTGGCACTCACTCTGCTCAATAATACACTAGCCTTTTTTGGTCGTCATCCTTGGGCACCTAACTATATTGATATTCAATCAAACTTGTCCTCACTGCCACCCTGTGAAAGTGGCAGGTTCGCACAACCTGTCGCGCAACTTTCAAATCCAAGTTCAGCGCAGAAACCTCCAGAACCACATATGTTCTTGACCCGCACTGTATGCTTCTAAGGAGTGAGTCACTGGCCTGGCAACGCGCAGGGAAAGAATCTGCATGGTTTTCGGCTGGTCAAATCCGAGAAAATCCCCCTGAAAATCGCCCGTTGTGTGACCTATAATGAATGTCAAAGATTTCTCTCTGCGCCACATTGTTCTTGCTTTCGCACGAACAGCAAGCTAGGTAGGAAGGTAGATAAGCCGGGCACGCCGATCTAGAGGTGGTAGAGGCGGAGTTTTGGACACGCGAGTGTGGTAGACAAACGCGTGAGTGACCTGGAAACCAGCCCACGGTTTCGTTGGATGGCTTGGGCAAGTGGAGGCAGTTTGCCACAATTGTGCGATATGCAGTGCGATTAGACGAAACTCATGCCAGACTTGCGGTTGCGGTTTCTGGAAATGAGACTGATCCAATTTTAAGCCCTTAATCAGAAGTGCGGTTTTGAAATAGCTACAGCATTTGGGTTTCGAATCAAGTAAAGAACTTGGAACACAGCTCAAAACTATCGACCACAAGACCCATAACGAGCTGCCATCTCTAACATCTGTACAAAAACAACATCTAACCCAGACTTTGTGTTAAGGCCGCAGCTCAATGATCTCTAAACAGTTGTTTTTTGTGTTTACTCCCCCTCTTCGCCGACTTCGCCCGCTTCCTCCTCTTCCTACTTCACCTGCTTATCCTCTATTT